ACTCGGGGCAGCAGACTGCCAAACAACAGGGTGTGGCTCTTCCTCTGAGCAAAAGAATGAAGGGGGCGTGGGAGCGAGGCGGTGAGGTGTGGGAAGCTGTAAGCCACAGGCTACTTTGGGCTCGCCTTCCCATCAACTGGAGGCGAGGAGTGGTGGTCGTGGTTACTTATGACCTTACAAAAGACGAACATCCGTGGAGGGATGCGTGCAAAGCTGATGAGTCAGATACCTTCTATGACCTCCTGTCACAGGTGCTGGCTAAAGTGGCCCCTCGGGATAGAGTCATCTTGTTGGGTGACTTCAATGCCCGAGTTGGTCATGATGCTGACACCTGGTCTGGAGTGATTGGAAGACATGGGCCAGATCAGCTCAATAACAACGGCAGGAGGCTGCTAGATTTTTGTGCAGCCCATGGGCTTGTAATTACCAACACGCTGTTCCGGCATCGGCCGGAACAGCCGATCCCAGCTTGCGGCTGGGGTTGGCATCGTCCCCCACTCCTCCTGATGTCGAGGGTAAATGGGCGAGGTTTAGGACTGTGACTCATGCAGCTGCAATGGCTGCTTTGGGTACGCGGTCCAGACCTCACCAGAGACCCTGGCTGACAGAGGAGGTGTTCAAGCTGGCTGAGAAAAAGCGACAGGCCCACTCTCATCGGCTACAGCATCCCACGTCAGAGAATGAGTAGGCTTATCGCAGCATTCGCTCGGAGGTTCGGAGAGCTGTGAGGCACTGGAAGGATGGGTGGTGGTCGCGGGTTGCTGAGGAGATGGAGTCTGCCTCAGTGGCCCGCGATCACAAATCTCTATTTAACTCCATCAAAAAAGTAACCTGCAGCACCACACCTTTTGCCATCATTAGGGGAAAAAACTGTGATCCATTCTCCGAACCCCAGAAACAGGTTTGCAGATTTGCTGAGCATTTCTGTGAGGTCGTGGGGGATGGGACATCCCTCAGCAGGAAACATCGTGGCACAAAATGGAGTGCCTCAAATATTGAAATAAGTCACCCCCTATGAGTGGCTGGCTGAGGTGCCATCTGTTGAGGAAGTACTGCAGGTGATCAGGAGTCTGAGACCAGGAAAGGCACTGGGCAGAGATGATCTCCAAAGCGAAATGCTGAGGGAGGGTGGCGTTGGTGCAAAGACTGCCCTACATGACATCATAACAACAGTCTGGACCACTGGACGGGTTCCGCAGGATTGGAAGGATGCCCTGGTGGTCCCCCTCTTTAAGAAGGGGGACCGCACAGACGGTAACAACTACAGGGGCATCTCACTCCTCAGTGTGCCGGGAAAGGTCCTGACAAGGATTATTCAACATCGCCTTGCCAGGCACACTGAGGATAGGCTTGCGGAGCCCCAATGCGGTTTCAGGAAAGGGCGTTCCTGCACAGATGCCATATTTTATTCACGTCTGCAGAGGTGTAGGGAATTCCAACAAGACCTACATCTCTGCTTTATTGACCTGGTCAAGGCCTATGATACCATCAGTAGGCCTGGGCTCTGGGTAGTTCTTCGTGCTTTCGGAGTCCCTGACCCTCTGCTTACGATCATTAAGGACCTTCATGATGGTTAGCGAGCCCGGGTAAAACTATGTGGCCGGGAGTCAGAGCCATTCCCTGTACACCTTGGGGTGCGACAGGGATGTCCTCTGGCTCCCACATTATTTAACATCTTTTTTGACCACGTAGTTCGTGGGGCCTACAATAGCTGTACCGGAGGAATTTCCATCTGGTACAGATATAATGGGAGGCTGATCGATGCCCGGGTGCGGTCAAGGGATGGCTCCCTATTGCTCAACCATGTTATGTATGCCGATGATCTGGTAATTGCTGCTCACTCAGAGCAGGAGTTGGAGGCGCTGCTGCTGAACCAGGAGCTTGCCACTAAGAGGTGGGGCCTTACCATCAGCCCCACCAAAATTAAGTGGAGAGTTTCCCATACCTGGGCAGTGTGCTAATGACCGGCTTCAATTTAACAGCAGTGGTCTCACTCCGAATCAGTTTAGAGGCATTATCTTTTCATCGGTTGCGTAACGCTGTGTGGAAGCTACCTGGTCTGTCGCTCTGCACTAAGCTTCAGGTCTTCTCGGCCACGGTCATTCCCTCCCTTCTGTACGCTTGCGAAACGTGGACCCCCTTAATGGAACATCTTCGCCGATTAGAAACATTTAGGCTAGCCTGTCTACGACCCATCCTGGGTTTAACCAGGCTGGATTGTGTGAGGAGCTCACAAATCCTTGAAAGATCTGGGAAAGGTCCCATCGGTGAGCTCCTCCGGCGGGGAAGGCTGTGTTGGCTGGGTCATGTAGCCCGCATGCCCAGCCACCGCATGCCGAAACATTTTTTGTTCGGCTGGATTGAGGGGGCTAAGCGGGCGCGGCACGGGCTAGAGAAGAGATGGAGTGATGTGGTACAGGAGGACGTGGAGCTGAGTGGACTTGTCGATGACTGGTACCAGCGGTGTCAAGATCGGCCTCTGTGGAGGAGGCTCGTGAAGGATGCTACTGGGCAGTTGGAGGCAGTCGCCCTCCAACAACAACGGAGGGCGGGGGAGCGACGCTCACAACAACGAGCGGAGCGCCGGGTGGCTAAATCACAGCAGGTTGGCACAGTAGGGGGCACAGGTGGTGCATCAGCCAGTCATCTCAGTCAGTCGACCCATGGCACCTGGGTCTGCCCCGTGACCTCCTGCCCGCGGGCGTTCGACACTTCACGTGGCCACAGGGTGCACATAGCCTGGCACAAGCGTCGTGGTGATGTCACCGCCACTTAGTGTTGTTGTTGTGTCTGTGTGTGAGTGGTAGTGTAGCGGGTAGCTCTACGCTGTGCTAAGAACCCGGCGACCCGAGTTCGATTCCCGTTCCCGGCCAACACCACCAGTTACCATTATATGAACCGGTCCTGTGGGCCTCCCCTAGGTCGACTCAGCTTCAAATGAGTACACCTGGTGTAGCGGTGTGTAGCGTAGTGAACATCGCTAGCACTGGGGAGACAAAGGCGGCCGGGCGTGGTTGCTGGCCACCCACCCCCTCGTGTGCCGCAGTGCCGGTAGCCCTCATAGGTGGCGCTGCTCACTGACAGATCTTGCCCCTACTGCCTGCTAGAGGCTACACGGGGGAGCTTTGTCTTTGTGGCTACCCCCCCCCCCCCACTGGTGACCCCTCCCCCCACTGACCATCCCCCCACCCGCCCCCACCCCCCTAGACCCCCCCATGACCTACCCGTTGACCACTCCCCCTTGACCCCTCCTTGACCCCTCCTTGACCCCTCCCCCACCCCTCCCCCTTTTCCCCCCTTGACCCCTCCTTGACCCCTCCCCCTTGACCCCCACTTTACCCCCCCAGTTGACCGCTCCCCTTTGACCCCTCCCCTTTGACCCACCTCCCTTGACCCCTCCCCCTTGACCCCCCATTTGACCCCCCTTGACCCCCCTCCCTTGACCCCCACGTGACCCCCTTCCCGTTGACCCCTCCCCTCTTGACTCCACCATTTGACCCCTCGACCCCCTCCCCCTCGACTCCTCCCCCTCGACCCCCTCCCCCTCGACCCCCTCCCCCTCGACCCCTCCCCCTCGACCCCCTCGACCCCCTCCCCCTCGACCCCCTCCCCCTCGACCCCTCCCTCTCGACTCCTCCCCCTCGACCCCCTCCCCCTCGACCCCCTCCCCCTCGACCCCCCCCCCTCTCGACTCCTCCCCCTCGACTCCTCCCCCTCTCGACCCCCTCCCCCTCGACCCCCCCCCCTCTCGACTCCTCCCCCTCGACTCCTCCCCCTCGACCCCCTCCCCCTCGACCCCCCCCCCTCTCGACTCCTCCCCCTCGACTCCTCCCCCTCTCGACCCCCTCCCCCTCGACCCCCTCCCCCTCGACCCCCCCCCCTCTCGACTCCTCCCCCTCGACTCCTCCCCCTCTCGACCCCCTCCCCCTCGACCCCCCCCCCTCTCGACTCCTCCCCCTCGACTCCTCCCCCTCGACCCCCTCCCCCTCGACTCCTCCCCCTCGACCCCCTCCCCCTCGACCCCCTCCCCCTCGACCCCCCCCCCTCTCGACTCCTCCCCCTCGACTCCTCCCCCTCTCGACCCCCTCCCCCTCGACCCCCCCCCCTCTCGACTCCTCCCCCTCGACTCCTCCCCCTCGACCCCCTCCCCCTCGACTCCTCCCCCTCGACCCCCTCCCCCTCGACCCCCTCCCCCTCTCGACTCCTCCCCCTCGACCCCCTCCCCCTCGACCCCCCCCTCTCGACTCCTCCCCCTCTCGACTCCTCCCCCTCGACCCCCGCCCCCTCGACCCCTCCCCCTCGACTCCTCCCCCTCGACTCCTCCCCCTCGACCCCCTCCCCCTCGACCCCCTCCCCCTCGACCCCCTCCCCCTCGACCCCCCCCTCTCGACTCCTCCCCCTCGACTCCTCCCCCTCGACTCCTCCCCCTCGAACCCCTCCCCCTCGACTCCTCCCCCTCTCGACTCCTCCCCCCTCTCGACTCCTCCCCCTCGACCCCCTCCCCCTCGACTCCTCCCCCTCGACCCCCTCCCTCTCGACCCCCTCGACTCCTCCCCCTCGACCCCCTCCCCCTCGACCCCTCCCCCTCGACCTCCTCCCCCTCGACCCCCTCCCCCTCGACCCCCTCCCCTCTCGACTCCTCCCTCTCGACTCCTCCCCCTCGACCCCCTCCCCCTCGACTCCTCCCCCTCGACCCCTCCCCCTCGACCTCCTCCCCCTCGACCCCCTCCCCCTCGACCCCCTCCCCTCTCGACTCCTCCCTCTCGACTCCTCCCCCTCGACCCCCTCCCCCTCGACTCCTCCCCCTCGACCCCCTCCCCCTCGACCCCCTCCCCCTCGACTCCTCCCCCTCGACTCCTCCCCCTTGACTCCTCCCCCTCGACCCCCTCGACCACCTCCCTCTCGACTCCTCCCCCTCTCGACTCCTCCCCCTCTCGACTCCTCCCCCCTCTCGACTCCTCCCCCCTCGCGACCCCCTCCCCCTCGACCCCCCTCCCCAGGCTGTTCTCCGCCCGCTGCCCCGCCTGCACGCGCCCCATCTCCCCCACGGAGCGCGTGCTGCGCGCCCCGCTCAGCGGGCGCCCCTTCCACGCTCGCTGCTTCCGCTGCGCGCTCTGCAGGGCCACGCTGCGCCCGGGGGACCGGTTCCTGCTGCTCAGGGACGGCAGCCCCGCCTGCAGCGGCCACGGGGGTGGGGGCGGGGGTGGAGGGGGTGGGGGTGGGGGTGGTGGTGGGGGTGGGGGGCCCAGGCGGGGGGCGAGGGGTGGGGGTGCTGAGGGGGGATCGCCCGTGACGTCGTCGGATACTGGTGAGGGTGGTGGTGGTGGTGGTAGTGGTGGTGAGTGTGGTGGTGAGGTGGTGGTGGTGAGGTGGTGGTGAGGTGGTGGTGGTGGTGACGTGGTGGTGAGGTGGTGAGGTGGTGGTGGTGAGGTGGTGGTGAGGTGGTGGTGGTGGTGGTGAGGTGGTGGTGGTGTGGTGTTGGTGGTGAGAGTGGTGAGGTGGTGGTGGTGAGAGTGGTGAGGTGTTCGTGGTGGTGGTGAGGGTGGTGGTGGTGAGGTGGTGGTGATGGTGAGGTGGTGGTGACGTGGTGGTGAGGTGGTGAGGTGGTGGTGGTGAGGTGGTGGTGAGGTGGTGGTGGTGGTGGTGAGGTGGTGGTGGTGAGGTGTTGGTGGTGAGAGTGGTGAGGTGGTGGTGGTGAGAGTGGTGAGGTGTTCGTGGTGGTGGTGAGGGTGGTGGTGGTGAGGTGGTGGTGATGGTGGTGAGGGTGGTGGTGGTGGTGAGGGTGGTGGTGGTGAGGGTGGTGGTGGTGAGGGTGGTGGTGGTGGTGGTGAGGTGATGGTGGTGGTGGTGAGGGTGGTGGTGGTGAGGGTGGTGGTGACGTGGTGGTGGTGGTGGTGGTGAGGTGGTGTTGGTGGTGGTGAGGGTGGTAGTGGTGGTGGTGAGGTGGTGTTGGTGGTGGTGAGGGTGGTGAGGTGGTGGTGAGGGTGGTGAGGTGGTGGTGAGGTGGTGGTACTCGTGAGGGTGGTGGTAGTGAGGTGGTGCTGGTGAGGTGGTGGTGGTGGTGGTAAGGGTGGTGGTGGTGGTGAGGTGGTGGTGGTGGTGGTAGTGGTGGTGCTAAATTGGTATTCCGGCAAAAACAACCCCATACCTCCTCGTGGTGCCGGACGGACAACTCTGTCGTGGACAGTGCCGTGGGTGGGGAGGGACAATTCTGATTAAACCTTTTCCACTTCATGGCGTCTGTGACCACCACAGCGGCTAAATGGGGCTCTGGATGGGTGCGAGGGGCTGGTAACCCCTCCACCTTCAATTAATTACCACTAAGCTACGAATAAAAAATACAATTAATAAGCTTGTGCTGGAGGACCCGGGGGGCCAGGCGTCTATGACGTCTCCTGGCCAAATCCCAATTGGTGGAGCCAGGAGATTGAATCTCTACACTCGGGGCTCCTCCAGAAACAACGAAAAGCCACTACGTGTGGCCACGTGGAATGTTTGAACGCTCACTGCGGAGGAGAGGCTGCCACTCCTCTGTCAGGAGCTGGACCGGTACCGCCTGGATCTCTGTGGCATTTAGAGGTCCGGTGGACTGGTTCTAGCTCCTGCCACCATGAGGGGTGGACAGTCCTCTACTCGGGGCAGCAGACTGCCAAACAACAGGGTGTGGCTCTTCTTTTGAACAAAAGAATGAAGGGGGCGTGGAAGCGCGGCGGTGAGGTGTGGGAAGCTGTAAGCCCCAGGCTACTTTGGGCTCGCCTTCCCATCAACCGGAGGCGAGGAGTGGTGGTCGTGGTTACTTATGCCCCCACCGAAGACGAACATCCGTGGAGGGATGCAGGCAAGGCCGATGAGTCAGATGCCTTCTATGACCTCCTGTCACAGGTGCTGGCTAAAGTGGCCCCTCGGGATAGAGTCATCACGTTGGGTGACTTCAATGCCCGAGTTTGGTCATGATGCTGGCACCTGGTCTGGAGTGATTGGAGGGCATGGGCCAGATCAGCTCAATAACAACGGTAGGAGGCTGCTAGATTTTTGTGCAACCCATTGGCTTGTAATTACCAACACTCTGTTCCGGCATTGCCGCATCCACACAACATCATGGATACATGCCGGGTCCAAGCAAGAACATCTGCTGGACTACATAGTGACGGACTAGCGGATGTGGGCCCATCTCCTTGACACCAGGACCTACCGTGGAGCTGATCTACCCTCTGACCATCAACTTGTCATCTGTAAGATGCGCCTGCCATTCTTCCACTCCCGTGGTGGGTGTACACCCAGGACCCCATTCAAATCTAAGGTGGCCCGGTCTCAGCTATCTGATGAAAGTTGCAAACGAGAATTTCTTAATCACTTGCGGCTGGGGTTGGCATCGTCCCCCACTCTGCCTGATGTCGAGGGTAAATGGGCGAGGTTTAGGACTGTGACTCATGCAGCTGCAATGGCTACTTTGGGTACGCGGTCCAGACCTCCCCAGAGACCCTGGCTGACAGAGGAGGTGTTCAGGATGGTTGAGAAAAAGCGACAGGCCCACTGTCATCGGTTACAGCATCCCACGTCAGAGAATGAGGAGGCCTTCGCTCGGAGGTTCGGAGAGCCGTGAGGCGCTGCAAGGATGGGTGGTGGTCGCGGGTTGCTGAGGAGATGGAGTCTGCCTCAATGGCCCGTGATCACAAATACCCTATTTAACTCCATCAAAAAAGTAACCTGCAGCGCAACACCTATTACCATCATTAGAGAAAAAACGGTGATCCAATCTCCGACCCCCAGGAACAGGTTTGCCGATTTGCTGAGCATTTCTGTGAGGTCCTGGGGGAGGGGGAATCCCTCAGCCAGGAAAACATCGTGGCACAAAGTGATGATGACCTTGCTGAAGCTGCGGTGCCTCAAATATTGGAAGATGTCACCCCCTGTGAGTGACTGGCTGAAGTGCCATCTGTTGAGGAAGTACTGAAGGCGATCCAGAGTATGATACCAGGAAAGGGACCGGGCATAGATGATTTCCCAAGCGAAATGCTGAGGGAGGGTGGTGTTTATGCACAGACTGCCATCAGAGTCTGGACCACTGGACGGGTTCCTGCAGGATTGGAAGGATCCCCTTGTGGTCAGCCTCTTTAAGAAGGGAGACCGCACAGACTGTAACAACTACAGGGGCATCTCACTCCTTAGTGTGCCAGAAAAGGTCCTGGCAAGCATTATTCAACATCGCCTTGCCAGGCACGCTGAGGTGAGGCTTGCGGAGCCCGAATGTGGTTTCAAGAAAGGGCCGGCCTACACAAATATCATATTCTCTGTCCGTTTTCTGCAGCAGAGGTGTTTGGAATTCCAACAAGACCTATATCTCTGCTTTATTGACTTGGTCAAGGCCTATGATACCATCAGTAGGCCTGGGCTCTGGGTTGTTCTTCGTGCTTTCGGAGTCCCTGACCCTCTGCTCACGATCATTAAGAACCTTCATGATGGTGAGCGGGCCCGGGTAAAACTACCTGGCTGGGAGTTGGAGCCATTCCCTGTTCACTTTGGGGTGCGACAGGGATGTCATCTGGCTCCAACATTATTTAACATCTATTTCGACCACCTAGTTTGTGAAGCCTTTGATGGCTGTACCAGTAGAATTTATGGGAGGCTGATCGATGCCCAAGTGTGGATAAAGGATGGATCCCTATTGCTCAACCACGTTATGTATGCCGATGATCTGGTGATTGTCGCTCACTCAGAGGAGGAGTTGGAGGCACTGCTGCTGAAACTGGAACGTGCCACTAAGAGGTGGGGCGTTACCATCAGCCCCACCAAAACTAAGCACCTGCCTGGGTATTTTGTACCATCGGACACTCCACCCCCACAACTCCCAATCGGTGATAGGGCAGTTGTGGAGAGAGTGGAGAGTTTCCCATACCTGGGCAGTGTGCTTATGACCGGCTCCGGTTTGACAGCAGAGGTCTCACTCCGAATCAGTCGAGCGGCAATATCTTTTTATCGGTTGCGTAACGCTGTGTGGAAGCTACCTGGTCTGTCGCTCCGCACTAAGCTTCAGGTTTTCTCGGCCACGGTCATTCCCTCCCTTCTCTACGCTTGCGAAACGTGGACCCCCCCTAATGGAACATCTTCTCGGATTGGAAACATTTAGGCAGGCCTGCCTACCATCCATCCTGGGGTTAACCAGGGTAGATTGTGTGAGGAGCTCACAAATCTTTGAAATATCTCAGCAACGTCCCATCGGTGAGCTCCTCCGGCAGGCAAGGCTGCATTCTCTGAGTCATGTAGCCTGCATGCCCAGTCACCGCATGCCAAAACAGCTTTTGTTCGGCCGGATAGAGGGTGCTAAATGGGCGTGGCGCAGGCTAGAGAATGGATGGAGTGATGTGGTACAGGAGGGCGTGGAGCTGAGTGGACTTGCCGATGACCGGTACCAGCGGTGTCAAGATCGGCCTCTGTGGAGGAGGCTCGTGAAGGACGCTGCTACTGGGCAGTTGAAGACAGTCACCCTCCAACAACAACGTAGGGCGGAGGAGCGACGCTCAGAACAACGAGCGGAGCGCCGGGTGGCTAAAGCACAGCAGGTTGGCACAGTAGGGGGCACAGGTGGTGCATCAGCCACTCGTCTCAGTCAGTCGACCCGTGGCACCTGCTGGGTCTGCCCTGTGACCTCCTGCCAGCGGGCGTCGTGGTGACGTCACCGCCACTTAGTGGCGAATGGCGGTTGTTGTTGTTGTTGCTGCTAAGGTGGTGATGGTGATGATGAGGTCGTGATGGTATGCTTGTGTGTGTGTGTGTTGAGGTAGTGATGATATACATGTGTGTGTGTGTGTTGAACCTCTTATCGCACCATAGCCCACCATGCTAATCGGAGGTGTTTTGGAATAAGACATTAGTAAATATATAATAAATATATTTACCAATATAAATCTGTTTAACACGTGGGAGGCTTTCACGACCAATATCATTCACAATAAAGGTTTTTGTGTTAGATCGCGTTATTTAGAAATGTGTCGTAACCCTCCACCACCCGACACGGCCAAGCAGCAAAAAAAAGTGTCACGTTGACAAAAGACAAATTATTTCACTGCTTTAGCCCCACTCCTGTGTGTTGTTCAAGAGTGAATCCACAACATTTACAGCTTGAGTAGCACGACGTTTCGCTGGTAATTACATCCAGCATCATCGGGCAATTCGCCAGAATGGTAAAGCCCT